CATTAGCAGTTGCTGGGAAAGTTTTCGATTTGGCTGGAGGTGTTGGGACTAGACCGACGTGATATCATTAGCAAGGACTTTAGCAATACACTTGATACAATTACTAGATATTTAGAAATAGACTTTGATGCATTACAACTTTATAATAATCCAATCACAATTATACGTACGATAAGCACAGAGGATGTCGTTCGTGTTTATGCCGAGGCTGAAACTCGGGAAGATGCGGATTCATTAGCAGTTGCTGGGAAAGTTTTCGATTTGGCTGGAGGTGTTGGGACTAGACCGACGTGATATCATTAGCAAGGACTTTAGCAATACACTTGATACAATTACTAGATATTTAGAAATAGACTTTGATGCATTACAACTTTATAATAATCCAATCACAATTATACGTACGATAAGCACAGAGGATGTCGTTCGTGTTTATGCCGAGGCTGAAACTCGGGAAGATGCGGATTCATTAGCAGTTGCTGGGAAAGTTTTCGATTTGGCTGGAGGTGTTGGGACTAGACCGACGTGATATCATTAGCAAGGACTTTAGCAATACACTTGATACAATTACTAGATATTTAGAAATAGACTTTGATGCATTACAACTTTATAATAATCCAATCACAATTATACGTACGATAAGCACAGAGGATGTCGTTCGTGTTTATGCCGAGGCTGAAACTCGGGAAGATGCGGATTCATTAGCAGTTGCTGGGAAAGTTTTCGATTTGGCTGGAGGTGTTGGGACTAGACCGACGTGATATCATTAGCAAGGACTTTAGCAATACACTTGATACAATTACTAGATATTTAGAAATAGACTTTGATGCATTACAACTTTATAATAATCCAATCACAATTATACGTACGATAAGAATTTAAAATTTAAAATGAATTAAAATTTAGTAAAATTAGTTAAAGAGAGTTGGTAGTTAGTGTATTTCACGGTTAAAAAAATTGTTTTCAAAAATCAAAATTATTGACAAATAAAAACCGAATTATTTTGCACTTCTGTCTTCCGACAATCCACTTAGCATTTTTTAGGGCAGATTACATGGAGCCTCTTCAATCCCTTTGATTTGATTTCAAACATACGATTCAATTTGACATCATTTTATTCAAAGTATTCCTAATTTAATACAACTTGTGTTGCGTATTTCTGACACGAATGTCTCTCTGCTGTTCAAGGTCGACATCGCCCAGTGAACCTTGGGTACATACACACATCTCTGATATGCATTCTGTTCAATAACCAACACAGATATCTTTCTAAACCCAAGCCATACCCACCATGGGGACATGCTCCAAATTTACGCTGAAAATACAAATTAAATCCATTATACTGTGTTCCAAACTTGACTGACAGACTTGCTACAAGATGTGAGATGTTTACGCGTACAGATGACAGTCAGAATGTAGAATATTTTTACACGAGTACCTGATCAGTGTACCAGTAATACGGTGTTGGATCGATCCCTTCACGTTTGTAACCTGCCAACAATTCATCCTGAAAATAATAGTATCACCGTAATAATAAATAGTATTCCCGGTCAGGGCTTTTCAATATACTTACTGTACCTTCAATGGAAATATTTGAATTCCATGCAAAGCTGAACCTCTCCAATATTTGGTGCGGACCGGAATTGACGAGAAAGCACAGCAAATGGTCTACTTACATATTGCCAAATTCTCATTGATCCCCCGACGATTTCACCAACATTCGGCATTAACAAGTCCACCTGAAATAATGCCAAAGTTTATCTATTGGTTAAAACAGAACACCAGCACTCTGTGTTCTTGAATTTGTAGAATTTGAAGGAAATTTTCAGGTTTTCAATAACGTGTAGAGATTATTATTATGTAGGTAATCGTTTACTTACCGACTCAGTGAGCCTTGTATCTTCAGGGCAACGCGGCATATAAAATGACTTTATTTCCGCTGGGAAGCGGCACAGGAATATCGGCTAAAGTAAAAAGTGACGTTGAACTGTTCAAACGGCAACTTTAATGGATTTCAAACCGCTTTGGCCTTTGTAAGACATGAATAAAATCAATTTACAAAATGTCCAATTCTATACATACAGTGTATATGGAGAAACCATGCTGGCTACCTAACTTCTGCAGCCATAAATTACGTAAATGTTCCTTTATTCTCAAAGACAGTCATAGCAAATGAAACATGGTGATGTTGATAAGCAGTGCTGTTGACAAGCAGTCAGTGGCAGTTCATGGTGCTGTTGACAAGCAGTCAGTATACTACTATACCTCGTTGATTTGATCAGTCATCTTTCTTTCGGGTGCTTCTGGGATATCCTGAAATAAACCATATTAACCAATCACAGCTAGTGTAAGGTTGTACGAAGTCCGTGATATTGACCGTAAAGTTCGTGATATTGTTTGGCATGTATGCGTGAAGGTCCATTTCCACTCAAGAAAAATTTCCACGGACAGAAAATTTTCGAAAATATCATTGTTAAAAGTTGAAAATTTTCAACTTCAAAATTTTTTTCCGACGGAAAATTTGTGTCGGCCAATCACATTTTACAAAATTTTCTTTCTGTGGAAAATTTTCCGGAAATGGGCCTTAACATCACTTTAAAAAAATCCAAAAACAGTTCTTTTAATTTAATGAAACTGTGGTCATTGTTTTTATTGCATGTATGTATCGTAATATTATCGAATATCGTGATAATTTCCTACACGAAAATCGTGATAAGATAATAAATATAGTCCAATCCTAATATTATCTACATTGTACTTACTTCTCCAAATTCATAGAATGTTCCATCATCTTTACGAATATCATGTTCTTTCAAGTAAACAATAGCATCAGTGTAGTTCATTCGTCTGAAAGTGAAATAAGGTCTATATCAAGCCTATATACAGTAGAACCTTTTATATTAGTACAGTGTACGTATATTTCATTACTTACTTGAAAGGTTTCTTTGGTGGCTTGAATTCCTATGAAAAAGAACAGCTACAAGGTTAGCGTGCTTCTACATATATTTCATATTTCTAAAGGTTTACATCAATAAATTGAAGCAATTCTTCATCAATGCATGATTACATACCGGGTTGAGTTCATAGAGCAGATCTTTATAAGGTGACTTCAGAACTCGGTCAACAACATCACAAGCCTGCGTAGAACAAAAACAGATTTGTTCGGATCAACGTTCCATATTTAAAAACACAACTGAAAAACAGCGATTTGGTACCATTATGCTGTAGTTAATCATTATACAATCCTAAGACCAAAAAAAAATATGTGGGTTTCCGGTTTCCCGACCCTACCTAGCTTTTGGACGTCGAAATTTAGCGAAATTTTATTGGATCATGCTTGTAAGTGTTTCCACTTAGAGGAAAAATTTGTGGAAAATTGAAATTTGAGGCAATATTAGGGAAATTTATCTTTGGATGTGGAAGCACTGACTAAACAAAATGGCGTCCGCTTGTTCGGAAAATTAAAAAAAAAAGTTAAAAAAAAGAAGTTAAAACCGACCTACCCTACCTAAGTTTTTTTGGCCTAACCCCCCAGTTCAATCCAGTGAACTCTACAAATATTGGAATGATAACTCCAGGTAAACTGTCTTATAATTGGATACCATACCACATTGATACCATACCACATTGATACCATACCACACGATACCACACCACACCTTGCCATACCATACCATATCCTACCATACCATACTGTGCCATATCATAGTGACCATTATACCATACCATGCAAAAAGCCATTTATACTATTCATTTAAAACACGTTTACTTACAAGATCTTCAATTCTGTCCAGGAGATCTTCGAACGTAATAAATGGACATTCCGCTTCAACGTGGGTATACCTAAATAAATAAATGTAGGAGTATATACTATATAGTGTAGTACGAGATATAAAGGATAAATCATCTTCAGTTGTAAACTAATTTCAATTTTTTCCATGAGAAGTGCTCTCGTTCAAAAGTTGGCATGCTACTGTAGTTATGTCCACTTACTCAGATAAATGTCGTCTAGTTTTGGACTGTTCAGCTCTGTAGGACTGCGCCAGACAGAAAACATCGCCTAATGCTGGTAAAGCAGTTTCCAAATACAGCTGAGATGATTGAGTTAAGTACGCCTAGAAATAAAAAAAATGAAGTGTATAATTATTTGCATGACAAAATTACTGAGCTTTGCTTTGGTGAAGAGTACAATTATTGTAATAGTTGTACTCAAAATCGGGAATAGGGTTTGGCATTTGTAAAGGCCGTTCGTGTTGTATACTTACATCTTCTCCAAAATAACTAAATTTAAAGAGTGTTGATCCACCTTCAACTTGTGTCTGAACTAAAGTGGGCGGAGTGACCTGACAAAAATAGAAATAGAAAATGGATTTGAGTAATTCGAGAGTGTATACATGGGAAATGTCCTAAAAGCATCGCTAGTTTTCTGTGAGCTTCCAGTTTTCCAGTCAGCTTACCTCGTAATATCCTCTGTCAATGTAGTGCTGACGGAAACTGCAAAATTGAATGAAGGCAATTACAATACGAAATTCAGATCTGATCGAACAATTATAGATTACAGTGGACGGTCAGCAACTGAAGCAAACAACAGCCTTCAGATAACCTAGAAAGTTGGCTAGAGGGGAATGATGACCTGGAATAGAGAGATACACACAAGACTACAGGAAATACATGGAGGAATATTAGTGGAATAATTAACAAACGGATGCCAATGAAACTGAAGACGCAGGTGTACAAAAGAATGATATATATGGCGCTGCAGAAACTTACCATTGAGAAACAACTGCTCTCATTTTCATTACTTTTGATATCTAAAAAATACAAAAAACAAGAACTTCGAGTCACGCTTAGCTATTAAACATAAAAAAATACATGTGGAAATTTCTGCAGAAAAGTAGATCCCCCAACAAATTCTGGGAACTGTAGGTACCCAGGTTCCGACACTTTATCCACTTCTGATGCAGTGAAGAACGTCTTTAAAATCAATTGAAAAATAAAATTTTTCTCCATGAATATAGGCTTTTAAGGAGATTAAATAAATAATTTCTATACAAAGCTCCTTGTGTGTTTGAATATTAAAAGCATGCTAATTCTGGAGGCAACAGTGAGCATTATTCTGCAATAAGGGATGTTCATTTTTTGCCGACCATAT